TATCACAAAGATAAGTAAAATTTTATGTTACTTTGCAAACTTAAGTTAATCTTTCATTCTTCTGCAAGTGGCAGATTTCAAGAAGTTTTACCTCATGCGAGGTCTACCTTTATCGCCAAAAAGGGCGAGAAATGAGTTGTTACCGATTTTGGTATTATGTTTTTCAATTACTCGCGCGTAAAACTAAAGTTGATGTATAATAGCGTTGTGTAAAGACTTAAATATTGTAAAAGTTATTGTATAAATTTTATTTAAAACATTCTGGCAAGAAAGAAGTTTTAGTCTGAAAGACTTTTTGAAATGTATTATTTCAATGTAGAAAGAATTGGCACTTGCTTTGAAAAGAATAGAAGTTAACAATGTACTACTAATGTATGTTTCCAAATGTGTAAAATTAACGGCATGTTAATATGTTCTTATATACAATGTGAACTGTTATTTTAAATGTTAAGAAATACCGTGATATGGTAAAAGTGAAAGTAATGTTAAAATTTTTTTTTATTCGTGTGACTGTAAAAAGAAATTATTGTAATAGAGAAAAAAAAAACTAAAGCATGGCGAATATGTGTTAAAGGTTGAATGATGTAGTTAGGCTCTCTGACGCTACACTTCAGAGTTAGCCACTTTTCAGAATAGTACCTCAGGGTTTAGAGTTGAAATTAGGGTGTGTTAGAGGTCTTGTTATGTTGAATTTTAACACGTTAGTGTTTTGATTGTAGGAGGAAGTGTTGAACACGTAGACAGAAAACACATTCGTGTTTGGTGTTCTTTTACAACACATGTCAGAGAGCACGGGGAGAGATAATTAAAATAGTCATGAATGAAATAAGAATGTTAAGAGAAAGTATAATTATATGTTACTTGCCATTTCATTGTGTAACATTTCATTAAACTAGTTTTCCTTCCAGATCTCTGGAAGGAACCAGAATTGAATAAAAGCTCCTGTTTAGATGCAGTACAGATGAAAAAAAATTGTTGTATATCCTGGAGCTGCTATTGTAAAAAAAAAAAAAAAAAAAAAAAAATTTCTTTCTTTTAAATTTCTAGTTTCTAGCGAAGTATGTTTGTAAAAGATTGGCCTCGCGTTAGATTCTAGAGCTAAAAGTTTTCAACAAGGTCGTTTTAGACCTCAGTTTCAAACTAATTAACTCTGGCGGGAAGTATGTAAGGATCTTAAGTTTTACTAACGTTTATTTTATTTTAAATCTTTACTATCACTTCTTATTTTCTACTTCCGGCCAGAATTATAAGCGTTAACTTATTTATGCAAAGTTTGTCTGGCGAACGCCAAGTACTTAAGTTGTGGCTTTTTGCCAAGCGAGAGAGAGGAAGCAGTTAGTCGAAGCAGGCCGCTTACCTTAGACGTTTTACTCAGTTGCTGGTTGCCTTCCAGGCCAGAGGTTTAATCCTCTTGATAATTTTAAACGTATTGTAGTGTTTACAGTTCTCTGTACTACATACGGCTTCCTGTTAATATAAGGCCAATCTTCCACGTTTATTATTTCAAAGTTAAGTTAGAGTTTAGTTCTATTTTTATATTCTTACGTTTAGACCACAAGTAGTGGGTCATTGTATTCCGAAGTACGGAAATTATTGTAAATAGAGAAAAATAAAGGGTTTTGTATACCCTTCTTGTGTATCCTGTCTACTTCCCACAGTTATTGAACATAGCTTTAGTAAGCTCTCTGTTCCGAGTCAGGTCCTTGCATGTTCCCAAAGAAAGTAAGACGGAACATTGAACCTGATAAACTGATGAAAAACACAATATTTTGATCTAGGCTATTTTTTAATTTATCAAGCTGCTATCTCTCCATGAAAAGTGTCACAGTACTTCGTAACAGGACAGCTAATGTTAAAATTACTTGAATAGACTCCAGCATCGGCAATTTTATCACATTTTCTGCCGAACCATCTGTATAAACATGGAACCCCTTGTCTGGGAAGGTACCTGAAATGTATGGTAACCACAGCAGTATTGTTTTTACTCATTCGGTGTGGAAAGGTTTTTGTTGACATTCCAAGAGAGATCGTCAGGTTTTCTCACAGGAATGGTATCCCTGTAAAATGTAGTTTTAATAGAACTGCGAGAGGCGAGACGTGACTATGGAAACATAATTTTCAATGACATTGCTAGTCAGAGTAACAAATTAAAACCTTACTTGATTATACTAAAGTTGCTTTTTAAAAGCTTATGATAATCATACCGGTGCAGATACCCTTATGCCAGGATATCCGAATAAAGCTTTCTGTCTTTCGGACAATTACTGAGTTGCATAAAGCTGCCTGCAACGATATGACAAGGGGTTGTTATGAAGTGATCCTTTTCTGATCTTTCCAAATAGAAAAAAAATTGATGTGGACACCACATGACTTCCCTTATATGGCCTATTAAATTATACGCAATTTTTTGCTGCACTTCATTTAAACTTATTTCCATATATTCTAACTTAATTAACCGATTTCTCAAGGTAAGTTCAAAAAAATACCGAAAATTGCAGATTTTGAAATTAAGCATTCTGGTCAATTTTTGATGTACGGCAGATGTGCTTCTTATAATTTTATATTTTCATAACGAGTACAAAAAGTTTCCCAGTAAGTATAGAAAACGGGACACCTAATTAAAAATTAGATTTGGTTCATTGTCGAAAATTAATTAATATAATATATATATAAATTTGGCATTGACAAAACAAAAATTTTCGTCATTTAAAACACTTTTGCAATTGGAAGTATAATATAGGACTACACGACCAATGATTGCGAAAATAAGGGATGAGTAAGGATTTTTAAGCCCAGTAAGGGGATAAGTAATGTATTGCCGATTGCAATAAAAAAGCGAGGTACATAAGAAGGTGTTACATCAATACCATATAAAAAGTTTCAACGTTGTAAGACTAATCGTTTTTGAGTTACGCGAGATATATACATACAGATATCACGAAAAATTCTCTTCTGAATACATTTTACAATCCGTTTAAAAAAAAAAAAATCTTTATTCTGTCTGTATATAGGAAAGTTACTCTAGAAAATCCTCCAAGTGAATTCGGAAGCGATCGGAATGAATATTCCCGTTGAAATACATGACATCCGAAATTTTTCGCTATTACAATATTTCCTTTTTCGATCTAAGAGGTTAAAAAAAAAAATTATTTACACAGCTAACATTATTTATAGAGTAAAAACATTATTTATGCAGTTAGTATTTAAATAGTATAGTTTTCCTAATTACTATCATAACAATACGTGCAAATGTTTTCTCAGCGGCTGGCTTATTTTGTAAACAAATTAGATCTCAGGGAATCGAAATGCGGATATATATATTTTCGTATCGCCAGTTCAAAATAATTTTATTTTTAAAACAAAATTATATAGGTAGAAGTAAATTTTTCTCAACGTTTTCAGTTAAGGACCTGCGTCCTTAACTGAAATTATATTATATATATATAATTATATATATATATATATATAATTCTTTAAAATATCACAAACAGCTTTGAATAATTTTTTCTGCTTATATTGCATCACTTTATAATTTGTGTTTAAAATACAGCTTACTTTTACACCACTTTTAATGTTTCGTGAGTTTTAAATAAAACAGCTATTTTTTATGCTATTTATATTTCAATTATTATATTTCCAATACATTATTAAAGAGAAAAGTAGTGATAAACCGGTTTTAAATGGCAATTTTACCGAGTTAACCTTAATTTTAAAAAATCGACAAATTTACAATCTATATCAAAAGCTATGGTTAATAAATTATTTGAAAATAGTAAAATTTAACTTTACGTCACGTAATCTTACATTATCCTACAACTAATATCAATGATTTGCAATTTGTTTTTCAGTTTTTTAAAAAAAAATTAGTAAACCGGTTTAATTGAGAAATTATCCGTCAATTTAATTTAATTGTTACAAAAATCAAATTGATTTTAACTATTTGAACAATTATATAAACTACTTTATAAAATTAAAAAAGTATGGTTTATGTGAGAAAAATTGTGTAATAATGTATATGAAACATACATTTACTTGCTTTGTCATCGACTAAAATTTGAAACGTCTTTGTCCCTAAAACAAAATGCCTCGGTTGCGAATCATGATTTGACTAGCAGTTTATCATTTTTATTTATTACATACTTTTTCCACTCTATAACTTTTATATTCCTTTCCTTTTATGATTAAAACTTAATTAAGCTCAGTTAAATAACAAAAAGAACTGAAAACTTTCAGATTTTATATTACGTCCAAAGGCGCGTTTTTTTAACGTTTTGTGTGTTACCTTTATTTATTAAATGCCATGTTCTTCGCACTTGAACCATAAAATTCAATTCAACAGCAGTATCACAAGATGTTTGTCTTTAAAATTTCCGATACACAGTCTCGCACACTGGAGATAAAAATGTTTTTTTCTTCGTACAGTGTTGCCATTTCTCGCTTTGAAATCGCCGAGTTTGTCAATCAAAAATTCGTTTAAATTTTACAAAATATGAAATAGGTAATAAACAAATTCCACATTCCAAATTTGAGCTTTCAGATAGCCATATTCGGGTGGAGGACTACGTTATTCAAAATTCGACGTCTCAAGTTTAAATACATGCTGGGCTCTAATGTTGGGTGGCAACAATCTGAAAAGTGAAACACTGTTTATAGTGAACCAACACAAAATGCCAAAACGAAATTAGTAACCCTTCTGGAAAAATTGTCCCTTTAGGCTAATAATTAAATAAACTTAATTAAACTTATTTAAATAACTTAATTAAAACTTAATTTAACTAAGATATTTATTTTATTTAAATTATTGATTTACATAAATCAATCTTTTGTACACTTCAGAAATAAATACATTACCATTAAAAGTTTCTCTCTGCATGTTTGTTCGGGTATTAAACTTTATCTTCTAAATCAGCTAAATTTATAGTATTAGCTCTCTTTTTAGTATTTTTTAATCTCGAAACAAAGAAAAATTTAGGCACTTAAATATAATTCGTTCTACTTACTTCAAATTCATAGGAAATAATTTTTCTTTTCATTCAAAAACCTTTTGGAAGACCACAAGAAGTTGTACTGAACAACCGAGATTTTGAAAATCACTGTCACTGCATCACATCAGTAAGTTCTTCCACGTGATATTAAAGTGCAACTGCTATCTCGTTTTCAACTTAGTTGAGGATGGATTTAACGACTCCATACATGTACACCATGCGTGACGTAAAGCACTATTATGAATATCTTAAATATGAACATTTTCCAAAACTCTGTATTGTTCATGTTACTCAAAGCCTTTTCCGTTCCGTTTTGTCTTCTTTATTATGCATTTTTATTGAATTATTTATTTGTGGTTTCCTTCTGTCTTTTAGCCTCGATACTCGCCGTACGCAAAGTCGTTTTTGTCCTTACGCGTCCGGGATCAAACAGTATCTGATTTATTGTTTGGTCGTGCCCGCTTATTGGAGGTTATAAATTCATTCATTAAGACACATTTTATTGCTATGAAACTGAGAGTTCTGCTATCTGCTTATAAGCTAAAATTTATGAATGACGGGCTCGAAAAATTACTTTTATTTATTGCTTGATGCTCTTAAACACTATTATTTATTTACAGTGGATTAATGTAGAATGACTTTGTACTCCTTTTTTAGATAAATGCGAACAAAAGCCCTATCAGAGATGATTTAAAATAAAATTGTTTTTAAAACCTTTCTCATTATTTTGGTATTAATATGAAACTCTCAAGTCAAATCCCATTTTTTCCATATTTCAAGAAACTGAATAAATTACTTTCAATTCAAGGACTCAACTTAATTAATGAAAATTATAATTAAATCAAGGACTTAACTTGATGTATGCATGTTATAATCAAATTAAGGATTCAACAATTTTAAGCAGGGCATATACCAAGGATGGCCAAATTTCAAGACGATGCGAGCCGCATGATAGATTTTATGAACGTTCGACAGCCACAAGTTGAAATTTATATCATTTCAAAAATAATAAGACAGGTTTCGAATAAAAATAAACTTTTAAAGTAAATTAATGAATACGTGATTAATATTATTACATACAAATATGTATAACTACATCTCATATCTACCGTTTTGAGCTTAGGAAAGCTAAGCCCTAAGAAAATAAAAATTTGTAACTCTTGTACTGGACAATTGAGTGTTTTTTCTTCAGGTAGAGAAACCAAACATTTTCTGATTTCCTTTATACCTATCCGCTTAGAAGTATTGTTGTTTTATTTTAGTAAAAGTAAAATGAATCGGAAACATATTCATTGGTCTACAGTTACGTAAAAATTATTATTTGAGTAAATTACAAATCATTATTTAAAAGAAAAATTTACTGTTTTGTTTTTTTTTTTTTTTTTTTTTAATTATGAGCAGGTTTTTAGAAAAAATAAATTAACTAAAAACTTTTGAGCAGTCTTTTAGAAAGGATAAATTGACTAATATACGTCATCGAGAACTGCAGAGAAATTGTTATTCGAGAAAGAATATTTATTTAAAAATAAGCTATTAACTTGCTTAGGCTTTGGCTTAAAATGCAATTTTGTTTCTCCACTGGATCCGAGTAAAAAAAAAAGCGTTAAACATTTTTTCCACAAACTTTGGATTAACAACTTTTACTGATACCCGGTATAGAAGAATTCGCAAAAAAAAAAAAAAAAAAAAAAAAAAAAAAAATATGATTGCAATTTCAGTGGTGTTTGAATAATCAGCATCTCATGACAGCCCTGACTGATACAGTATTTCAGCGTGGCGTCTAACGGAATCTGCCAAATTAAAAGCATTTGTATTTAATAATAAATTATTAGCCATAGTTCTGTATTTTTATTGCTTTCAAATCTCTGAATTCGCATTACCATAAATTGGCAACAGAAAAAGAAACAAATAATTCCTTTCTATTTCTTTCGTAATCAGACAATATTTTAAGAAAAGTTGATTATAATTAAGTTAAAATAACACGCTGAAAAGTATTAATTTAAAAGTCAAACAACAAAAATCAAGGTTATATTATATTTTCAAATTTTCACGGGACTAGTTTCGATGCTTTTATCGAACCATCATTCTCAGCTGCCAAGGCGCAAATGAGCGAGATAAGATAAGATAAGATGATTAGATAAGATAAGGATGGCTGGAACGGAGTTAAGCTACTGACGCCATCTATTGATGAAACGAAAACAAAAGCATAATTTCCTTAAAGGCTGAAGGCAAATATGGATTGGAATTAGGGTCGTTAATTAGAACAGAAAGATTTTTTTGCATGTGAAACGCTTCTAGAAAATCTAACTCACCAATGGAAGATGTTTTTTGAATAATTTTGGCTGCAGAAAAATTAAAAGTGTGATTTTCGGACCAACAATGCTGGGCAACTGAGGACATCTGTGTTTCCTTTTTTTTAACATATGTCTCATGTTCCTTAAAGGGAAATTTTAAGGCTGTCATAGTTTGACCAATGTAAATTAAATTACACTGGCAAGGAATCCTGTAAATACCCCAGTAATTTATATCCGGAATAGGGTTCTTGTGTATGGAAATAGGAATTCTATAAATAGTAGAATAAACGACCCGAAAGTTAAATTTCTGTAAAATAAGCGCAGGTTTATAGCTAAATCATGGAAAGAACGGAATGACAACAGAATTATCTTATCTTATCTAATCACTGTATCTTATCTCGTTCATTTGCACTTTGGCAGTTGAGGATGATGGCTCGGTAAAACCATCGAAACTAGTCCTGTGAAAATTTGCAAATATAACGCTGATTTTTGTTGTTTGACTTTTGTTGTTGTTTGATTTTGTTGTCTGAAAGTTAATTACATTTTAATTCCCAGTATTACTAGAATCCAATAAAAGTTGTAGCTGTTGGATAAACAAAAAAAAAAAAAAAAAAAAAAAAAAAAGAGCTATAACTTCTTTTGTGGCAAAAGAGAATTCTTCACAATTATACAAAAACTGTTGCCACTATCAGGATTTGAAATGTCTTTAAATTAAGTGTAACCTATTTTATTAAAAACAACTCTGTAGGTCACAGGCATGCTGTTAAAACAATAACAGACTTATAACACGATACGTTAATACTTTACTGTTTCTGCAAATCACCTTGCACAGATGAAAAGAAATTTTGCGATGAATACAGTATTAAAATTAAAATGTGTTGTTAAATATATACTTCAAAACAAGCTCAGTTATGAATAAACGATATTTATTATTCAGCATGTTTACATTTTAATCTTGTTGGTTTCGGATTTCATCCATCTTTTCTTTCAACTGTTCCCATAGATTTCCCAGTTCCTTCTTATACTGCTTGAAGAACTCTCCAGCTTCCGAAGCAACTTCTTTGCTGATATTTTTGGCATGCTTGGCAAACTGTAAATACGTTAAAATGCGCAAATATATTTAACATATATGTATGAATATGAGTTATTAATCTACTTCCTACACTGACATAATAAATTTACATTTTCTTCTTTAGTATTCTAAGGCGTTAAACCACATAAGTACAAATAGCGTACACAATTTAAATACGCCTGACATCTAACATTTTTAAACTTCAACTGGTTAATTGTCAACTCTAATAACGTATTCTTCAAAATTGTTATCATTCTGCATTGTAATTCAAGTTATTTAGTGGTATACGAACCAAAGGGGAATAAACATTCTCCCCTCATTTTGAGATTGAATTGGTCCGATTAAACTTTATTTTCTCAGACGGTAGCATAAAGCAACATAAAATTGGAGCAGGAAAAATTGCTTCAAATTGCACCTGATAGCTCCTTGCCATACAAGAGACTAAACATCTATATCAAGCTTGAAATTTCCGAGAAGGCCAAAGAATAATAATCTTTAGTACCTCCAAGGCTGCCCTTCAGGCAATTCAGTAGGATGCCTCATGACAGACCCATGAAATACATAATACCCTGGCTCACATAATGAATATTGTATAATGCAATGGATACCAGCCCACGTCGGAAAACTGCGAACACCCTGGCCAAAGAAGCGAGACAACTAAATGAAGAATCTCCTTATCCCACCTCATGACATGAATTCTGTTGCTAAGAAATTTGACCATCAGGCAGAAATTTCGGCTATGAGAATTCAACGTCAACAGAGTTTCTTCCAATACCTCAGCAAGACATAGAACTGGTCATTTCAAAGGAATGAAAATCTTACCAGACTAAGCAAAAACCTACACTGTCTACAAAAACTGTCCTGGAATCGAACCTGGACCAGAATACATCTTTTCCCACCCCGTCATCTTAGGTGCAATGCAGCAAATTAGTGATTGCCCCCAGGAAGATCTCTATGAATAAAATTGTTTTGAAGGTCTAAGGGGGTCTGCACCGCACATGGTACCATCTAACTGACTTCATGGAAAGGACAACAAACAAACTGGTCTGAGGGATTTTGCTCTCCAACCCTTAACTTTTGAATTTGGACTCTGTCTCCGTTGGCGGAGAATAAAATGACAAATACTCAATGACTTTGAAACTGCTGTGGCATAAAGCTATGTGATACACCCCCTATCTGTTATCTTACGTTTTTTTTTTTAATTCTTTTACAATATGTTTCTAAAATCAATATTTTTAAGCTACTTGTTAGGGCATTATTGTGAGAGAAAATTCCCATCCATGTTACATTGGTTGATTGCTATTTAATTTTTACTCATTCCAACACACACACGTATTTCCACCTATCTAGCTATCAACTACATACTATATCTATTCTATTAGTTCAAATATAATATGATGTTTCTTACCCCTTTCTGGAACCTATTCATCTTATTTGGCATTTAATTATCTGTTTTGTAGAATATTTTCAACACATCAAGGTGAAATCTGTAACGCCATTTTACTGAAAACCCTTTTATTTCTTCTAAAACATCTCCAAATTTTTAGTGCTTTTCTTCATTCTTAATACATTTAAGTTAATACGAGATATGTAAATATACATTGGTATACAGTTTTCAGTTAGCATACGATCTATGTATAAATATGTAAATATATACTGTATATACAATAGCGGATAAGAACATCCTCTTAACTTTTGACTGAATAAAGACTGACTTCGATAAAAAGTTGAGAGAATAAGCCTCAGAAGCAGGTTCTACTAACAGTTTAGCGATTGTTGACTATCTTTTCAAAATGTTTGCAGTACACCTAGTGGCGAAATGAAAATGCCTGTCTCATACGCAAATTAAAATAGACAAATGTTTTGCAGATCATAGGGTACACATTAATTAAAACGGAATGATACTCATAGCTTGTACAGATAAGTAAAAAAAAATGCATTAGCCATTGACGGCATTTTTTAACGTTTGTTTAGTATTTTTATGTGATTGTTTTCATTTTTATACTCTCAAATATTTTAATATGGCAAGAAAGTAATTTTGGTTTGCACAAACAGATAGCGTTACCTTCGTTTTGTTATTCTTCTGTCAATCTTATATTTTGTTTTCTTTTCAGACTTGGCGCCAAGTAGCACATGACGTAGCAAAGACGTTGCAAATTGGTACAAGAGGTTGCAAAGTAGTCGTAGTAATGTCTTTGCTACGTAGTAACGTCTTTGCTACTTGGGGCAACTGACACTTTTAGTGCGTTATAGAAAAAAATTCCATGTATTTTTGTTTACAATTGGGTGTAAAAATAAACATTTTCCAAATATTTTAATTCTTTGTTTATATCAAGAAAGGCAAGAGCGTATCTGAAGCTTGCAAAGAGATATTAGAAGTTTATGGTGTTGATTGCTTAACAAGAACGCGTGTGCCAGAATTAGTTTAAAATTTTCGCTCTGAAGACTTTAAAATGAATAAAGATCTGGCTGATCTTCTGAAGTTCATGATTACAAACTTAAAGTTATAATTGAATCGAATCTTTTGTGCGAGAGATTGCAAAACATTTCAATGTGAAGCGCACAACAAGTGAAATCCACATACGATGTCTTGGACTCGTTAAGAAGCTCGATATTTTGGTTCCGCATGCACTGAAAGAAATTCACTTAACACTACGAATCAATATTTGCGATGCGCTTTCAATCATGTACGTCTTTTAACAACATGTAAGAAATTTTTGGAACTTGGTTGGGAAGTCATGTCGCATACCCCATATAACCCGAACGTGCACCATCGGATGACCATTTATTCCGATGGTGCACGTTCATTGAAGTTTACAAAACTTCTTAAATGATAAAAATTTCAGAAATAACGATGACCTCAAATCGTACTTGGTTAAGTCTTTTGCTGATAAAGAACAGAAGTTTTATCAGTGTGGAACCATGAAGTTACCATAAAAATGGCAAAAGGTAATCAAAGAGAATGGAAGATACTCGACTGATCAAAGTTCATTTTTTATATAGAGAAAATTGAATTTTATTTCACACTAAAAGACCGAAATTACTTTCTTGCCAATCAATTTTTTTTTTTTTTTTTTTTTTTTTTTTACCAATAGCGGGCACATACTTATAACGGCATTGGCCACTACTAAGGCCAGAAGTGGTGGCCATTTTATTGTGGAGGCACCTAATAGCTAACCGCTACCTCCGGTGAGGGGGACAGACAATATTACGTCTATGTCTTCTCCGGAATTCTTGCCCGGGTCCTTTGGTATCGCAATCAGGCTGCCCTAACCACTATACCGTCTGGGCTGTTCAATCCGATATTTATTTTGCTCTTTTTACGTTTGTGAAAATTCATTTCTTTGCTTAGGTTTGCAGTATCATACATTTCACTTTAAAACATTTTATATGTGTAACCATTTACTATTCATTAATTACTCTTTTAGAGATAAAGAAAACATATTTCAGAATTTGCGTAATTTAGCTACTTTTGAAAATATTTCAAACCTTTGGTATGAAATTACTACAATGAGCAATAATTAAGATAAAGGAAATTCTTAAAAACAAGATAAAGGGCATCTTAAAAAATATCCCTTTCTCTTTCATGAGCTTCTGAATGAGGCTTACATCATTCATTAAATTTTATACTTAGTTAAAAATACTTTAAATTTTAATGACAATTTTACCGTTCGATATCAGTTGTTTTCATTTCGCATTTTTGAATAATTTTGTTTTACATGTCGAAATCTAACGCTCTTTCGAAGCCTAAATTAAGAAAGAGCTGTTGTTTTATTGAATACAGTGACCCTGCGCTATATTTCTAGTCCTTCTATCTGCTCTAATATAAGGTCATGGAAATCCAATAAAGAACATGTTTTCTTGAATCTCGTGGCCCGTTCATAAAAGAAGACCAAAAACTTGATGTCGAAAAAATAACCAGAAAAAAAAAATCTTTTCGTTCTTTTCAATAAACTTCGAAATATTTTCAACAATATCTTGCATATACAATTTTTAATCTAAACTTAAAGGTTAAATTTTAATACATTTTTTAGTTTGAATTGAATATCAAATTCAGTATTATTTATATTCTAGAGATTATACGACTTTTAAGCAAATATCGCAAACACATTAAAAATTAATTACTCGTATAACACTTTACAGCAAAACATATATTCAAATTTTACCGAGATTTAGAAATTTTAGAAGTTTTTCATAAACCAAATCTAAATATACGCTGAAAACATACGACATGTTTTTTAATTACCTCTTTGGCTATGGCTTTAATATTTTCCATTTTGTCCTTGGAGTGTTCCATTCCTTTGTCTAAGATGTTCTTTACCCATTCACCGAATTTCATGTGTTTCTTCTGAAGGTCAATCTTGAGATCCTTGAAGTATTCTTTTACCTTCTCCCAGTAATCCTTCATGGAGCGAGATTTTCTGTCATCATCTTCATCTTCGTCGAGAATTCTGTCGATGAGGATCATCAGTTTTCGTTTGCCTTTCTCTTTCAGCACATTTAAGAAGTGTCGTAGGAGCTAAAGATTTGCAAATTTAAGTAAATTATAATATAAAATCTCCTAATTGTTTAAATACTAGAAAAGGTGTCAGAGAAAGGTATTTTCTTTTAGTTCTTAAAAAAAAATAGATAATAATTTATGGTATCCGCTTAGCAGTTTCTTTCCAAATTCATGAAAAGAAAGTTTTGTTTTCTTAGAGACGTATTTCAAAAGGAATCTTAATGATACCACTCAAAATTTTGTGTCTTAGTACACACGCCGGAAAAGATTGCGAGATGTCTTTTCTGCATGCAGTTAACTTAAAGAAATATTTCTAGAACGTTACAATTCATTTCCCTTCCAAAGATTAACTAAAATTTAAAAAGGAAGTTTTGATTATTTGAATACAATAAAGCAAACAAGGGTTATCTGCTTAACGAAAGGAATACTTTCGTGGAGGACTTCTTAAGGAAAACTCGCTCATATCCACGTAAACCCACCACGGAAAACCCAGAAATTACCCATGCTTCGCTAAGGTAAGACCTTGATCATTCGTAGGCTTTAAAAGGATACAAGATGCTTATGTGATATATACCTTATATACCGCTAAGGTAAGACCTTGATCATTCGTAGGCTTTAAAAGGATACAAGATGCTTATGTGATATATACCTTTGCGTCATATAAATCTTTCTATATGCCATATATATCTTTTCATATATATCTTTTATGTAGTTTTCTAAACATAAATATATTGTTTCTCACAGAGACTTCTGCAGCGAGTTTTGCTTTTGGTGATATGTCATGGAGAAAGACGATGCACATTACGTTTGTTCACCTGTTTAAGATTCAAATCAGCATCAATCGCTTTGTTTATAGTTGATACTGAGCGTTTAAATTCTTATGTCATTTGAATTGGCAGGTTTTCTTTTAGTATTTAACTTCTTGTCTTTACAACTTTCGAAACATTTCGTTTTTTTCTTTGGATATGTATTTCGAACAATTTTTCTCCTTGAAGCCAAACTTTGACTTTTTAACCTTACTTATTGACAATACAATTTGTCATTGATTTAGATACCGAACATCATGGCTTTCAGAGCATTTTTTAATAACTAAATACGAATAATTTTCTTCGGAAAGTGCACAAGCATAGCCTTCCATCCACTGCTTTTTTAAAAGCGCCATTTTGCACGAAAACAAAATTATCAAGTAGTTGACTATGATTTACTCTTTCAAAAATACAATTGCAGTTAATAAAATTTTCCAAGCAGGCGATTTTTTTTAGCAAAACAAAGTCGTCTAAAATTGTGCAAACAGCCTCTGAATGCAATCTTGAGTGCTAAAAAGTATTTTTGCAAAAGACCATCTCAAAAGTACTTTTACGATGATCTTTTTTACAAAAATATTTTCCCAAACGACCTTAAGAAAGTACCATCCGATTTACAGATGAAATTAACAAAAATTCAGTGCGACTCAGTTCTAAAGTAAGCATTCAGCGAACTGGTATTCCAAATTTTACCTGCATGTTTCCTAGAAAGCCCCATATTCGCCTAGTACGTGATTTCCGTGTTCGGTAGTACGTTTTAGTGCCTATAGTTTTTCTCATTTATGAAAAGAACGAATTCCCGTTTTAAAATATTCTTCTGACCTCTGAAAATCGCACGCCTCCAGACATCTGAAAATTATTTGCAGGAAAAGTGGATGCTAGGTGCCGAAGAAAAAATAACAGGTAGGCATCTACTACCAGGATTTCCTCATGTTTCTTCTATTTGTTTGAAAAATCTCAGTATTAAGGTAGAATTTTATATATTTATTCACTTTTTAAATGCTTCTTTAAATATGAAAATCGCTTTCGTTTTTAATTCCACTTGCACCATTATAAAATGATGATTATTTGACACTCTTAAGGTACAGAGTTTAGCATGCCTGCTCTAGGCAAATAATGACGAACAAGCATAGATCAGTATTTCTCCTCACACAATCTTACCTATAGTACTTATTAATACCATAGATAATACCTATTAATGTTGTTGGGAATATTTTGCTTCTATGGCTTCTTCCCGAGTTAAAGCTTCCTAGTAACATACTTTAAAATTATTTCCAGAGGAAATCTAAATAATCTCGAAATAAATCATTTCATTTATCAACTTACGGTTAACTAAATAATGAAAATGCTGGGGGAAAAAAAATTACGAATTTGGATTTTAGAAATGGCAACAACAAGAATATCTCCACTTGTTGGTTTTAATGTTATATTATTACGTTACACTACCAGGCTCTTATCATCTACTCAAACTGCCACATGCTACCATAGCGTTATCTGTAAGATCTTTAATTTATCTTTCACGCAGCCCGACGGATAGACAATTTCTAGAGCGTTATCATTCGACAATGAATAATATCTGATTTGTCAATCCGATTTAATGCTATTAAAGCTCAGCTATTTTAAAGCGGTAAAAAAATTAAAATCTGTGCTTTTATTTTTAATAATATAACTAATTGATGCAGTTTAAGCGCATTTGATTTAAATCATATCTAATGAATAATTACTAATTTTTGTAGGTTTATTGTAATAAATTAAATGTTTTTTCCGACCGGGTTGGCTTATTTTCCTAATTTTTTAAGTTTATCGTTTTTAAGCGATGCATAAAGTTGCGTAAGATTCTAGGTAAATTAACTTTACTTTGCTGCTAGATCTTTACTTGAAATGTTAAGCGATTATTCGCTAAGTTTAAACTGTATCAATTACAAGGTACAAGAAGGGTGAAAACACCTTTTTATTCAACTCAATTTGCAAACGGCACTCCTAGTGTTTAGAAACTTAGTAAATACTTTTGACTTCAATTCAAAGTAGATATATAAAATTAAAATTAAGTTAAATAATTACCTGAAGCTGCGCAAAGGTAATTCACATGAGTTGGCTCTAGCTCTACCCCTAGCGTACACAAACCAGTAACTAATATACACGGTCGTAAAATAGCAAACTTATACCAGGGAAATAAGGTGGTCGAAGGGCAGAACACTCTCTATCTGAAGTAACTCAGACACCAGCTTAACACTTTGCCCAAAAGCCCGAGACGGCCTCAACCACTCGAAACGGCAGAGATTGTGATGTTGTTTCCTTCCCTGCCCCTAAGGTAAGCTTTAACAGGTGCAGTTTCTCCAAATGCATTGTATCAGTTTATTGCAGACAGCTTGTCCTAAAAGCCTTGTAGGGTTTATATTTATTTTAACTAACATTTATTTTAAGCTATCTTTCCTGTCAAGCCTTTACTTTCCCCTAGAATTGCCAATGCCAGAGTATGTAAATCGTAGTAGAACGCGCAGAGTATTCAAATTTAGCAAATTCAAATTTTAGCAGAAGTAAATTGAGTTTAAATAGAAGGAAAACGAGATTGTAAGTGTGCTTCTTGAATCGCGAGCGTGAAGGTAGCTAGGTAGAAATTTAAGAACCGCGCGTTTCGGCCTGTGTGCCTTTTTTGGCAGTTCGTTGAATCTTTCAACTTCTTAATTAATTCAGCTGTATCTTAGAACGCGGTTCAGTTAGTTACGATTATAGAGCCTCGTAGATAGTGACTTCGTGATTTATTCATCCTGTCATTTATTTTTAGTTGTACTTTTCTATTTGGTTTAACCGCCGGGTCGGCGTAGTTTGTGAGCGTCAAGTGAACGCAACTGTGATTTCTAAAGTAAAATAAAAAAAAAGGGATTTAAACCCTTCTTACAAGTTTGTATAATTTACAGTTCATAACAGTCACTATTACTGTTGCGAACAAGTTGGGGTCACGCAACATCACAGCCTAATGGAGCCTTCTTTGTTAGAAAGTAAAAAGAATGTCATTTGAAATTTTCAGGTCTCTTTATGCGTTAATGAAGGGGAAAGGGATGAAATGGACGGGACGGGTAATGGACGGGGACGGAGGTTTCGTTATTTTAAGCATACAGGTTTCCGAAGTCTTCTGTTTTCTAAGGATTAAATAGTATCTTTCTATCCTACTTTGCATATCACGCGAAACTGAAATGACATTCAGGCAGGAAATGGAAATAAGAGAAGATAGAAAAGCTAAATAACTGAATAAAACTGGTTAGTTTAGAACTAAAATAACATTCCTCACAATGTAATTAAAGTATGTGAAATCATTTGCGTTATTTAAAAGAAAAAAAAAATTAATTTTTGGAGATGCAACTTAGTAATAAAAACGTGAATTTTAATCTTGCGAGTGAAAACTAACAAATATTGTTTAAATGTTTCTTCGATTTCTAAATAAGGGTCTCTGCAGTTTCACATTTTGCCCTATTTTGACCATTCTGATAGAACAGTAAACGTTTAACTGTATAAACATTATTATAGAAAATTAGAAATATAAAATAACTTAATAATATTCTGTACAATAATCAAAATAGGTAAGAAAATTTTTAAATAAAAATACTTTCTCACCTCACTACCTTGTCCGAAGATTTTCTCAATTTTTTCTTTAAGGAGTTCCGGATCAACGGTGTTCTTTATCTGAGGTAAAGAAACCAATCATTTAAAAAAGTTTATTCTATGTATTTCTTCAAATATCAGTATTGCAGTAAATTTAGCTAAATATTCTTGTCTATTTATTTGCAATCTGTTTTTTTATGTATTTTTGTATTATGTTTGTTTTGTTTATTAATCTATTTAGTGTACCTTGCACAATAATTGTTAGGCCATGTATTGTGTATTTAATATAATCTTGACTCTGAGGCCACTTACTATGTTAGCACATGTCTATTTCATGAACTGTATTGTAAAACTTTTAATTCTGATTCGATTGACTTAAACTGTAAGTAGAATTCAAAAAGAGCCGAAGATTTAAAGAAAATAACTTTCTGGCCGACCTTTTCGACAGCTCTTTTTATTGACAAGTTGGCAACATATGCCAACTTCGTGACATTCGAAAAGCTCCCAGGCATAGTGTTTACAAAGACATAGTGACATTTCTGTAAGGTATTACTCAGATACAGAAGTATTGCACATAGGTACAGACGCCATTCTTCATATATTTAATTTTGCATGCCTATGTCCACTTAATAGTACATTCTGATTATCTCTTAATGTGCTTGTATCACTTTAATATTTCCCGTATAACTACTGATTTGTAAAGATTAATTGTTGAGCAAATTTAACATCGCTGACAATGTACATTTATCTGAATTATTTAACATCGTATTGTGCATAGTTCATTCAGATTGCTTGTGATCTGTAATAGCTATTTTCGAGTGTCCTAGTAAATGGTTGTGTATCGATGTATGTATACAAGTGTGTCATAATTCCTCTTCTTGTGGTTTCTGTATTTTTGATCTTCCTTAATTGTTGCGTCTATGAAATCGGAAATTTGCTTCGTGAATTCTTCTCCTGGCAAAGTCATACTAAGCTGCGTGGCTATTTTGTTCGCAGAAAAGCTGCTTTCCCAATGGCATGTGCAAACTATCGCAGAAAAAGAAGTTTCCTTCCTACTTGCTGTTAGTCTCGGCCTCCAATCACTATAAACGGCTGTATCACTTTTCAGATTGTTGCCACCAAATATTATCGCCCTATATAATATTTAAAGAAATTAAATAGTGAAGAATTTGCATGAATGCATGCATGTTTCTTGCATTATGAAAAAACAACGATACCTAGAGCCACCAAATTCTGAATAACATAGTCCTCCACTCGAATAGGAGCACCTGTAAGACCGAATCTTGAATTTGGAATTAGTTTTATTATCTATTTCATACTTTTTTAAACTTTACCGAATTCTTTATTAATAAACTCAAAGATTTCAAAGCCAGCAGTGGCAACACGTGTATGGAATAAAATACTTTTACCTCCAGCGCGCGACATTGCCTATCGGAAATTCTAAAGATATGCTGTTTTTACATATTTGTAGTCCAAAGCGGCATTAGCCCAAATACTGTCGAAACGTGTATGTATGTGTAAATGAAAAAAAATGCACCTTTGGGCGTAATATAAAAATCTGAAAGCTTTTCAGATTTTTTTAATACTTATTTATTTATTATTTTTTTAATCCTACGTCGGAAAATAGTCAAAGGACCATAACTCCCCGCGAACGGCCCTGTAGATTTCAGCAACACTAAAATTATCAACAACAGAGAAGTGTTTGTCGTGAAGATGACGACACAACAAGATGTAATTAAAATCCATGTAGTCCTCTGCAGAACAGAGGGGACATTCGGGAGCAGAAGTAACACAAATGCAGTGTAAGTGTCCAGTTTAAAAATCGTGCGCAATATTGACTCTGATCTAGATGATTACTGAAAGTCAAAAATTTCATGAATTCTTTAGTTATAATCTATAGTAAAAGTGGGAGGTCAGTTTTATCAAATGACATAAATTAATAACGATTATTCGAAGTGCTTAAAACAAATCTCTTATTCATTAAACTCCTAAAATTATAATTCGAGGCTAAAGCTGACATTTAATCTAACTAAATAACTAAAATAACCTAAGCAGAATATTCGCTCGGTTTTCTTTTATTTGATTGTACTTGCCTTTGTTAATTTTGCTTTAACTTTCCAATTTGCAATACCCGTTTCCTTCAGAACAAGATTTTCCTAAAAATTCCGAATATTTTGATGCATGAGCTAAATTTTGAATGTGCAGCTAAGATGTTCTATAGCTTAAGGTAATTAAATTAGTATTGTTGCGTTCTACGGGTTCGTGAATTCGAAGTATTTGTTGATAACGCTTGCTGAAGAATCAAAGCACAATTTATTCAACAGTAAGCACTATTACATAGGACAGTTCGAAAGACACTTTTACGCTCATCGAAAAGCTACGACAAACACGCTAAAACACTCAGCAGCACAGCCTTCAAGCTATAATGGTGAAGATAACTTCACAGCAAAGCACTAAAGGACACCTCTCGGCTCAGCCGACCAAGGACCATGGCGTTTGGATTACGGAGTACCTTTGCAATTAAATGCAATTACCTCCTCATCATCGTTCAGAAAAATGAATTAAATAAGAGAGAAGCAGTGGCTAAAGTTGATGAAAGAGCAGATAAGCTAAAATCAGGAATCGCTAAGGGTCCTCCTGTTAGGACACAGGAGGAGAGTACAAGAGTTTATCACAATTGAAGGCGTTTAGGCCCCCGTCGTGAGTCAACTGCTTGCATTCAGTAACAAAAGAGTAGGCAACCGGGACGAAAAGAGCGTGGATGGTTGCCATGGAGACAAAACAGCTGATGGCGTGAGGCGCAGTTGAAATGAACCGGTCCTCGGGAAAGGTAAGGTAAATGTATCCAAGCGTTTAGCTAAGAGTCTTGGGATGGTCGGAGGGGGGGGGGCGAACGGGGTCACTGACCGAAGAAGGAGAAAGAGTCGAAAAAGCGCGGTTGCGGAGAGTTAGAATCAGAGCTAACTGGCGGAATAACTGGAGCAGGCAGGTGCATATATAGCTTTAACCTACCTTCGAGGATATTTCCTAGAAAAATGGGTTACAGAATGTTCTTGCTCCGCTTATGGCCTATTCCTAATTTTGTCGCCAAATATCACGAAATGGGGGACGAAATCTGGAAACCCTGCCTTTACCTGCTATTTTCTAACAAACCTAAGCTTTCCATTTAGCTATCTCACCCCATTTATGAGCCGTTATCAACTTAAAACTCGTAGTTTTATGTACTTTGAAAGGACTTTTGTGGTTTAGAACAAGGAAACTGCATAGCTGAGAATTAGAAATACAGATCTCTTCAGTTTGTGAATAAGATATGATTTCGCTTTCAAAATGATTTATTTTAAATGTTTGAATTCTTAATCATAAAATAAAGGTAAAATTGGAATAAAAACTGCAAATAAAATACACAGAATTCCAATAAAGACATCTTTTGCTTATAATCTTGCAAAGGTGTAAAAACAAAAAGTACTAGTACTTACATGGTCTTTGATTTGCTTCAACAATTCTTTAACATTGAGTTCAGAAAGAACTTCTTCAAAATGGTCATCTGCTGATCGTTTGCTCAGTCCCAGTTTGTGCAAATATTCCTTGATATATTCCCGTACTAATTCTTTAACTTTATGTAGGAATTCTTTACTTTGCTCTCCTAGTACCTCCTTCACTTCCTTTATTCTCTGCCTCAGAGCTTTCAGCTGAAATAAAAATGATTGACAAAATTTTGATTCAAAAATATCCTTTCTTTGATTAAAACACAAAACTTGTTTTTACCCTAAAATTGCATTAAGTTCTAAAAATACAGAAGATCTAAAACCCTTCTCTAATTTATTTTTCCGTAATATGTAACTTATGATTGTAGTTCGACCATCTTAAACGCAACCTCGGCTGGCATTCTGCCAAAATACATAGAAACGTCCAAAAGAGGCGTTAGTTAAGTGGTGCGAGATGAGAGGTCGCGTAAAAGCTCTTTCTTCGTCGGAAAGAGGAAATTTATATGACCAAGGGAGAGAAAATCTCCATGTCATCGGGTGATGCCATCGATCGTCAATTGTCTTTCGCGCCTTTGTTTCTTTTCTTTTTTAAATATTTGCAGAAATAAATCCTAAGATTCGCATTTATTGGCAGCCCGAAAACCAGGAATGTTTAAATTTTTTATTTATAATTTACGAATTTTATGTGAACAAACCGTATTTCATCGCTTATTTTTAAAGATAAGGTTACTAAAAATCATGGAACTATACTCTTTAGCGGAAAAATTAATTTTGTGGCAAAAAATATAAACCGTTCAATAGGTTTCCAGCATATCAGCTTAGATTACTTAAAAGTAATTTTGTCTTTCTATGTCTTTGACCTTTGAAGGCCATGGAAATAAAGAGAGGGAAATAAGGACCGAGAAAATTCCTATTTAACCTATTAAGAACGAAAAAATTCCCACTCTGATTCCATCCACCCTATTTTGAGAATACAGCGTTCCAAATGGCGCATGCATGTCCAAATGGCGCATGCGTCCAAATTGCTCATGGTCAGGGCTAAAACGGTCGAACTATATATGCTATCACTTTTAATTAGCATTTCAATTTTAATTTTTTAGCATTTCAATGTATTCTTTTATCACAATTATTAGATATTTGTAGGTTAAATATTTGTGTAATTAAGACTATAACTTTTTTTGTTTTATCAGACATTAGTTTATTTCAAGTAATGATGGATTTGTTAATATTTTAAATATGAAATGTAATTCTTTCATGCAGAAAAATTTGGAAAGCATTCTCTTGATTTCTCTAGAATTGATTGTAAACTAAGAAACAATAGTTCTGTACCTTTTCGAAGAAGTCTGCCCGAACTTCTTTTCCTGTTTCCACTGCATCTTTCAGTTCTTCAAGGAGTTTGTTAATAACTTCTCTCAGTTTCTTACCGATCTCCGTTTTTATCTCATCCTCGACTCTGAAAAGAGTTTTGGTAATTTAGGAAAAGGAATCAGAATTAAATTTACTTATATATTTTTATAAACATCTTTGTGCTTGAAATGTATAGTTGAAAAAATTAATTTCAAGAATTGTGAACAGTGAGTTAGAGTATTGTGTTTTCATTAAACACTGCTGCTTGGTAATGAAACACTTTTACCACTATTATTAATATTCGAACACTAAGAAATAGAATTTCAGAAATGAGCTTAGTTGTTTAACTTTGTAGGAAAATGTTTATTTTTGCATCGCTGTTTCCCGTAAATTAATCTTCGAACACTAAGAATTAGAATTTCAGAAATAAGTTTAGTTGTTTAACATTGTAGGAAAATGTTTATTTTTGTACCGCTTCGCGCAAAATGAAAGTAACTTTTAACTAAATAATTTTACGATGAAATACTATCAACAAAAGAAATTGAAAAAAAAAAAAAAATCTTAGCAGATTTTTTTTAAACAAGAAGTTGAAAATATTTAAAATACTAATTTAAATTCTGACTAAAATTTTTTAATTAATGTTTTTATTAAAAATTAATTAATGAATTTATATTCCTTGAGATGGTATATGGAAGTTTTCTTATTATAAATTATTAGTTTACTAATTATACATATATGCGATACAAGTGTTCAGGATAAATTTGACAGTTTCGTAGGAAAAAAAAATCCGCTTGTAGAGTAGTAGCGAAGGTCTTCATTGTGCAAGCTTCATAGTAGAGGCTGCACATTCATTTCACGTGAACAAGCCCGAATTCCAATGCCAGGGTTCTTCAGGACCTGTTCCTGCAGATTTGCGAGGAATTCTGCTGTACAACGCAATCAATCGTCTGCTAGGGATCTTTCTTCTTGCTACATCCTCGTAGTCACCATTGCAAGTCTCTATTCATGCCTGATTTTTTTACTGCGTTCAGGGAGCATTGGGCAGCAGTCATAATATCCTTATTTTGAGGCCGGCACGAATCATCATGATGCAAGTTATTCTCTTCCATGATCAGGTGGGTTCCAGTCATCCATCCTTTCTGACACCTTGTATATGAATGAAGAAGGGTTCAAACTTTTAAATGAGGAGTAGTGTGTGTCAATACCTCCAAACTACGGAAAAATATAATCAATTATAAATATGTCAAATTTATCCCGAACACCCTGTATATTAAGCCATTATATGCCTGGCTTGGTGACCTCAGTTTTTTATTCTTATATGTTGGTAAACTGTGCATTTTTTTGCCTTAAAAGTGATTGAACTATGCTATTCTTATGCTCCGGTTAAGATTTTTATGCCTTTAATTAATCTTCATGCAATAATTGTAGAATTATCAACAATTTAAAAGGGGCAAATTAAGCATAACGAGGCCACCATTTGTTTACATTTCAAACTCTTAGTAGAATGGTGAACTGAGTCATGCAAAAATTGCCTTTTTACCTGTTTTGGACTGTATTTGATGTTTTAGATTTTTAATGAAGATTATGAGGTTTTATGTATTTAAGCCTTGCCACGAAGTAAGTAATGAATTGATTGAATTACAAATATATCTTCAATGAAATTCGAAGAAATATGTTTAGATGAAGTGTAGTACAAAATGCGCATAATTTAACAGGCTCTATATAAGTCATGTGCAGTCCACATCTGATAGTAGATATTCACTTACTGATCGGCGTATAGGTTGTCTGGCTCTCCTAAATGTTCCCTTAGTGAAGGAGCGTGTTGCATGCCTTCCAGAAAACTGAGGACGAATTCGTCGGCAGCATCATCCAGCACTTTATGGAGAAGCAAAAAGAGTAATTTTACTTAAATTAAATATCTTGAAAAATATAATATTAAATCCAGTATCATAAAATCAGGATCATCAGATTTTCAAAATGGAGAGATAATTAAAAGAGCGTTTCAAAATGGTCTCCAAGAAGTGTAAGTATGATAATTAGTTGAATTTAGTTACATAATTTTCAAAAATCTTGATTTGCGCTTAAAAGATTACTAAATTGCTATGTACCTACAGAAAGGATTTATCATGCTTGCTGTCCGATTGGTCTTGCTACTTCGAAATTTTGTTATTAAAATAGCAGTATTAATTGCATTTTGTTTTAAACATGAGTCATTTTGATTATGTTCTATATTAAATGATTTTCTATATTCTATATTACTTTGTATGATGAAGGACTTAGAACACACTGTACATTTATGCTACTAGATATACTTTGCAATACAATGAGTGTTTTTCATGAAGCTAAAGAAAATAATAAACAAATAAATGAACACCTATATATTAATCTTCTCCAGTGAGTATCTTCTAGATGTCAATAGATGTCAATAGTATCCACTCCTAATGCTTCGCAAATGATACTGTTTAGAATTTTTCAAGCCTATTCTCCAAAAAATTGAGAACTTTTAAATTTGATCTGCATAATTTGTATTTCTGGGGCAATTTAACAAATTTTTCTGCATTATATCTGATATTTTTATAAAACTTCACTTGCGCAAGCTGTATTTTATTCCTATTATTTATTAGCTGTATTTTTTATTATTTCAATCACTCATTATTAATTGGTTTTATTAAGTTATAAGGTATTTCTTCCGCCTTCTTACCGTAGCTTCGTGGTGTAATGTCAGCACGCTCGACGCGTCGAGATGCCCGTGGTTCGATTTCCGGAGGGGGCATTGCTAATTTTTCATCTCTCCTGTTTTCAAAAAATACCTAATGTCTCCAAAAGTTATCTAAGAATTTAAAAAAAAAATGAGTAAAGTTAATCCTTATTGGTGTCCAAAGTTATCTAAACATCCATAATTTCAACAATACCTGAAAAGCATTGAAATATTTTGAGGGAGAAAAGCCTATTGGAAGGCTAATTATAGCCTTTTACCAAATCTTTCTCTTTAAATCGATTGAAAACCATTTTCATGGCTCCGAAGTATAATTTGGAGAAAATTTTGCATCAAATACCACAATCCTCTTTGCAAGGATTGCATTTTATAACCAAAGCAGGATTATCCATTAAGCAAAATAAGCACGTGTTTAAAGATGGCATCAAAGAAAAGGAGCATCCTAAAAAGATGCTTGATGATAATGCGGAAAAAGATGTCTGTTTCCTTGGATGTTAACGATTTGGACTGGGGGGGGGGGTCACTGAGATCCTGCATGACTTTTCGTTTAACTGTCTTGAGGCCATTGATTTCATATTCCTCGTATGATGGAGGTAAAATCTTTCTTACCTCCATGCCACGAACAGTTATAGAATCTCAACAGACGCGAGGAGCAATATTACGTTACGATAAACCGTAATCCCGATAGGCTGTAATCTTTCCTCTATCAAAGTCAGACACGTGCTGATAGGTATTCCTCCTTCTTACACGAGGCATTAAAACAACTTTCTTAGCCGGAAGAAAAGTTCAAATGCAAATTGAAAATATGAGAAAACTGTTTTAAGTTCCCCTGTGTGCTGCGTCTAACTCGTATGTTCGCAGGCTATGCACCGACTATCGTAAAGTAGATGCTCCTAGAGTGCTTGAGGAAGTGAAAATGTCGTTGAGTAAGTCCGGGAAAACATGATGACAGTTCAAGAGGGGGATGACCACTTTGTCACATGAGCATCAGGAAGACATTGGTCGAAGAGATTCCATTTATAAGTACTAAAAAGTGATGATAAAATACAAAACAAAATACGTAAAAGAATAAAAATAGTAAAACACGCTTCAGAATAAATCCATAAAGCTATTTACAAAATGCGTACATCAATGTACAGAGTAGAAATAATGTATAAAATGTCCTACAAATGCTCAGCAGTGTCATGGAGCCAGGTCACGTGAGAAGTCACTCTCCCAAGTGCTGGCTTTGAGCATGCTGCTTGGGTTTGTCGGCAAATCAGAAAAACTAACAGTTGCAATTTAAATAAAACATTTCTGTGAGTATAGTAAGTGTAAATTTGTTTCCCGCTCAAGATGAATGCAGGTAGAAGTAGTAAAGGGCATGATGAAACTGTTGCCAAACCTCTGGTTTTATACAGATTGCATGAATGAGCTTAAAATCTAATAATTTTCCATATCACTATATGCTATATTTTCCATATAGCATGTTCTATCTGTCAAGCAAATTTCACGTGTGTGGCGTGCCACATTCCTGGTGTAGCAATTTTAATGTCCTGTAGTAATCACCAAGACTTTTGTTTCGCAATCAGATAATATTAATATATTGTTGCCACCTACGCAGTAATAAAAGTTATGTACAGCGCATTGTTTCTGCACAATTTCAGTTAGTCAAAATTCGAACTCCTAGCGTAGCATACATGTTTTGATCCCGTATGGTCGAGAATTCATCATTTTCGATTTGATTTTTAGTTGTGATACAGTCCAACAAAATAAAATTAGTTGCTGTTGTTGCAAAGTTGTCTTTAATATATAGTAGAACCAGCGACCTCAGAACACATATATTAACGATTATCTAAAGATTTATATTGGATATTGTTGTCGTGTTTGGATATTGCTGTCGTGTTTCATGTTTTCTACAATTCCACATTTGAAATTAATAACATAGTTAACTCTTCTGATGTTTATTTATATTCTCAGAATTATTGACAACGTTCAGAGTATTTTTTTTAATTTTTGTCTTTTTTAAGGTTTTTTTTATATTTAATCTTTTCAAATCATCTGAAAAGCTGAAGTCATATAAAATGTAAACAGAAGACTTTACTCACTCTGATGAAAAGATGCCGACGCAAGACCGACGAACAAGAGAAGTAAGAAGACTTTCATGATTCTGAAAAAGAAATAAAGTTGAGAATACTTTCATTTTTCAAATTTGTTTGAATATTGATGAGTAAATGTTTTACTCTGTACACAGATTAAAATTTAATTATAAACTAAAATGTTTGAAGGCCTGTTTCGTTACACCATCAAATATTTTAAAACACAAATTGCATAAAACTGATGTAATCGAAAACATTTTGGGTCACAGATTGGACAGAATTTGAATTTATCTTTCATTTCTTAAGAAATGTTGTTTAAAGACTCTATCTGATCACTACACCATAAAGGCATGCTAGGAAGGCGTGAGAAATACTTTATAAGACAATTATTTTTTTAATTTAATTTGCGTATCAGTAGTTTACAGTATTAATTCAGTGCTTACGTCAAATTTTAATGAAGTTCTTTTTCATGATTTATCAGGAGGTTTTCTTAACTCATTATCTAATTTACTTGCTGCGAATTATAAAAGATAATTATTCTGTGCCATCTCTTTTTATTATAAATGGTTTTTAAATTTAGGAGCTTTTATTTCAAGTGATTTAAACTCAATGGTTAGTTTAAATGCTTGGTGGGGGATGCGAGAATCCCCACGCTGTGTTCGAGACCGTCAGAAACAGCCCTAAGCTGAACGTATAGTGCGGTCTTATGCATCATAAAAATCATAGGACTTTTTTCCTTCAGTGAAAAGATGGATCACAGCCAATATCTAGATGTTTCAGTTATTTTTTGTGCCACAGATTCAGGACGATGGTGCGTAACCTCATTAGGGGTTAGATATCTATGCCTATTTGGATACAACATTTCTGGGAAGACGGATCAGGCGTGATGGTTCCATAAACTGGCCTCCGCGATCACCGCCCATAACATAATTGGGTTATGTTAAAGACCACGTTTACAAAACACCAATGAACGACATTGCAGCATTATGGTGCAGAATTATTGAATTCATAATATCCATCCGTCAAGTAATGTTGATCAGCATAAGGGGGAAATTGGAATATTACCTGGATATCCTTCGGGCAATGAAAAGACCACACGTAGAAAATTATTAATCGCGACCGTAACGCCACTGAAATTCTTTCTTTAGGGCAAACACCAGTGAACGACATCGCAGCATTACTGAAGTCATAATACCCATCCCTCACGTAATGTTGATCAACACAAGGATGGAACTGGAATATTGCCTGTATATCCTTCGGGCAACGAAAATACCACGCGTAGAAATTTATTGACTGTGTACACAAAAACTTGCATATATTGCATGCAATTCAAGATCAAAAGTATTTTTCTATGTGTGATATTTTATGCCTTATGAATATTCTTATGAATTTCAGGGAAAGAGTTCTGGGACACCCTGCATTTAGTTACAGATATCATGAATTACGTAAATGGTATAATATCTATAAAAATGAACCAAATACTTGTAAAAATTTCTTAAAAAATATTAAAGGAAAAACACTGTTAAGAAGTACGTGTGCTATATTTAATTGCTTAGTTCGATATAAAATGTACTATTTTAATCTGAACTTTAAATTAACGGCCTTCCGTTATAAAACGAACACTTTGACAGTCTGCGTGAATAATTAATGTTACGGTACTCTAAATAAAGAAATATTACGCTACGCAAGAACGGGAAGGATTAGATTATAAACGTAACTCATTACGAATTTTGTAAGAAAAAAATTACCTCCTTGCTACATTCTTGCATCCTTTTGCTTTAATCAGTTAAACTAGTAAATAACTCTTCTTGCTACTAAACACTCGTTTAAGCGCTTTTAAGTTTTCTTTAATTTATTTTAATTATGCCAAAGCGCCAAGTTTTGTAAAAATCGCGCGAGTAGTTATTAAAAAGTTAGCTCTCAAAATTTTAGATTATCCATGTTAATTGAATTTGGTATATATTTATCAATATCTCTTTTTCTGTTAAACTTAAATGATTCTTTCTATCATAATTCGAAATTTAAGTTCATTCCAAATAAAATTCACCCATTTTTATGATTTATTTTTTAAATTTGTGTTTTTAAGTAATTTTTATAAATTTTTCGAAAACCATTTGGAACTATAACCTATAAAATTTTTACCATCATCTTAAAGCAGATGTATTTCTGAGCATACCTGCGAAAAATTAGAGATTTTATTCAAAATCTAATATGTACAGGAATTTACATATTGGCGCGTGTGGATATTTGGCATATTTGTTATAAACGATAATAACGCCAAAAGTGGTTGACGCACTTTGTTAAAATTAATTGAAAATATGAACGATGACTATTTTTCCGCTCGTGTACAATGAAAAAAACGGAAAGGAAAATAGGTTGCTGTAAATTAAGAAGTTTGCCGAGTGAATTATTCTTGGCGCAAATTGAAAAAAAATGCGCCAAAATAAATTTTTTTAAATTTCTCCAAAATTTCTGATAAAAAATTACAAAATTTAATATCTAGGTATAATTTGAGTCGTAGAATCGAAATATGGAAAAGGATGGGTACATTATTTCAGGAAAAGTTTGATTTTGTGTCAAAACAGTTATGTTAGAATAATGCTATATATAAATCTAATATATATCCTCCTCAGGCTTCCGAGACATGGAAAACGCAAGTTAAATTTCGATAATCGGTCCAGTAGAATGGGAGATATAGAACTGCCCCCCCCTTTTTTGTGCAAGGTGTACATTTTAGTAACAAATTAAAATTTACGTATATGATATTATCTCGTATTTGAAACTTTCAAAAATTTTGCCTCGATGATTTCGTTATTCTTAGAACTTTCACACCAATTTTATTTGAAATGTATAAGAATTTTAATTACCCGGACTGAAAGGTGCCACAATCCATTCAGATAAACGAAAACTCCTCCCGCCGTAGTATATATACTAGATACCGTTTATTCTGGTGTATAATGTACACTTTTGATACAAAAAAGATCGAAATTTACGTTTGCGTGTTATACGCCGGATATAAAAATAAAAGATTTAAAAGTAAGGAAAAGGTGAAGATACAAAAATTAGATTTCACCATTCACCTAAATGCTGTTACTTAGAAATTTTCATTATCGGATAACATGAAAAGTTCGTCATATTCTCATTCCGTTAGATCTTCAGGCACATCAATGAATTCCGTTTCATCTTCCATCATTGTTATTCTGATCCATAATTAAATAATCATTTTCCGTCCCATGTAGATTATTAGAAATACTACATTTTTTAAATGACTTTTGAATTACGTCATGTTTAATTTCATTCCATAGTTTTATTATCCACTCGTACACTATTTCTAGACTCACATGATGCATTTGGCTTCCTTTTGTAAATGCTT